ATCTTCCTCCAAGTGCCCCGGTTCAAGTAGTCGCACTGTAACAGTAAAAAAATATATTTTTGCCGAATTTGTCATTATTTAAGAAAGAAGAAAAGAAAGAAAAAGGAGCCATTCAAGAAATAAACAGAACAGGAGCTCTCAACTGAAGCTAAGCTTTCACTGCATACTCCGTGCTCAATATAGAGACAAGTAACTATTTCTTACAGTGTACTTTTTTTCCTTTTCAAGAGGACAAGCCAACTCAAGAGTCTACCCAGACGGAGCCACCCACTTACCCAGAATATTGTAAATGTGAAGATGGCAGCGCTGGGTTCTTCCATCCTGACCCTTGTCCGGAATACTTTTCGCAAAAATGCGGACCAATGCCCCCACCGTACAGTGAAAACTTCGTATGTTGTAAATATCATGGACCAGGTCCTTAGTAATTCGATTAATGCTCACCAAGAGAGAAAAGAAGTAAAGCTAATAAAGGCATTTACTAGATGAAACTATTGTTTGAATCGAGCTTGCTTTATTTAGTGACGAGATTTTACAAAAAATTAGACAAAACCTGTGCTAGGAAACTTTTCGTGTTTACGCGTGTCTTTAAAATTTTCCCATGCGTGCGCTTCCCTCCCACTAAGGGAGAGCTTGTATACAAACGCAAGCCAGTGTAATATGGTTGGGATATATACACAAATGTAGAAGGCTAAGATCTACAAAATGTATTAAGTTTAACAAAGCTCCATGATATTGCCGTAAGCACTAGTACAGTGTCATTTTACACTTTAACCTAGGTTGAGTTTTTTTCAAGAAGTTTTATTTTTTTTTTTTTTTTGAAGCAGACAATGGCTGCAATGAGGTGTCGCCTGCAATCATCAATTTCCTGCCTTGTTTACAAGCATAATCTTTGTACCGTGCTACCTAGCATTAAAAATAGAACCAGTTAGGAAAAGCACATATAAGCTCAAAAATAAAGACAGGTTCCGTTCTTGAGGCCAATTGGTCAAAAAGAAGTTTTTGTAATAGTGCAAGAAATGAAAACCTTTTGAATACTGACAGAGTTGTTTTGAAACATCTAGCTGTTCTTTTCAAAGCATTAAAATATAGAACCAGTTGAGCAAAGCATATGCTCGAAAGCATAGGAAGTGGTAAGTGCTTAATTAATTTAGGACATCAATTTGACCTCCTCTAAAAGGTACCTAGTGAACCTTAACTCAATCACAGTCTGCGATGATTTCAATAATAAAGAGTTAGAGCTGCCTTTTCGATAACAGGCCCTCCGCTAATTTTCAGCACGTGATGTTTGCGCCACTGCATTTTTCGCTATAAAAGGAGCTACTTTCCCTACTAAATGTAGTGTCTTTTTCCATAACTACAGCAGCGAGCTACTTCTGAAGATACTAAGTCGCCTCCGCAGATAGAAAAGGTAAGTAAAGAGTAACAGAACATTTTTCTTTGATCTTTTTTTGGCAGTAAAATAAGAGAAATAGTAGAGAAAACCAAATAAGAAACAATAACCACTTGGGAAGCCTTCGCTCCCAAGCAACAATAAAAGTGAACGTAGATTAGGGTCACCCGACTACATTACAATGAAATGAAACTCTCGTCTTATGCTAGAAGGGGAAGCATGCCCGTCAACAAAAGTTTCGCCGTGATGAACTAGAATTTACTCTGCATTCTTTCAAGATCGTGTTTGTTTTTAAAATCTGTTTAGATTAAACGATGGATGCAAAGTCCCTGGTGGTGTTCGTGTTAGCAGTTGCGTTTGTGTGTACAGGTGCTACACCTGCAAAGCGGTTTTACGAACAAGGTAAACAATCACATAACTAGAGATTTGATTTTAAATCGTTTTAGCAGAATTCGGCATTTTTGACTGTCCAATTTCTACTTGTACATAAATACTGTGGTGCCCTCGTTTCGTTCATTTAAAATATTGTGTCCCGTTCCTAAGACTCCCTAATCAAAATCAAGTGTAGGAAAGATAAGAATCTCGTAGGAAAACACATCCTTATCACGGCTGTTTTGAGGGCAAAAACCAAGAGAAGAGAAATCAGTAACTCATTGAAGTGCTTCTCACCTATTATGACGGGAAGACTATGTCAAGTATGTTGGTTTCAAAAGTTTTACTCTTGACAAATATCCATATCGAATGCCTTTGATTGGAAAAAATGGCGCGCTTTGTACAGCGTATCACAGTGCGACTACCCGAACCGGGGCACTTGGAAGTAGACTGTCCATTAACGTAACAGTACAAGGGCAGAAACACCTTGGGGCGGCAATAGGATCAAGGGAGTATTTAGAGGAATATGTCAGCGAAAAGGTGACCAATTGGATCAATGACATAGCTAAGTTAGCCGAATTTGCTCTATCTCAACCACAAGCGTGCTACGCAGCCTACACCTTTGGCTTGAAACATCGGTGGACGTACTTTTTAAGAACTTTGCCGGACATTCAAGATCTGTTAGAGCCATTAGAAGATGCAATATCTCATATGCTAATTCCTGCGATTACTGAGCGCAAGTGGAATCAGCTGGATAGGAATATTCTAGCGCTGCCAGTTCGCCTGGGTGGCCTGGGCCTGGGAAACCCGTCCCTTGAAGCAAGGCGCGAATATGCTTCGTCTGTCAAAGTAACAAAGCCCCTTGTTGAACAAATTGTATCTCAGTCACATCAGTTACCTGAAGATTCCCTCACAAAACTAGCACAACAGGAAGTAAGAAGTGAAAGATCAAAGGA